CTGCTTGATTTTGTGTTGTTAGTTTGAGAAAAAATAAAAACCAAACGCTAGGCATATTTTACGTCTAGAATTCATTGAAGGTGGAGAAAAAAGTGCAAAAAAGCATATGGTAAAAACAGTGCTGCCAAAATTTTGTCAAACAATGTAACCTGTGCGCTAGAATACCAAATTCAATTTCGTGTGTTAGAAAAAGTAACAAAATTTACTTTACCTGTAACAGTGAGAATACGTCTGCTATTATTTTTCCTTCGGTTCTGCAGTGCAATTCTGTAACTTTTATCGACACGATTTAACGGATCGCAAAGTTACGAATTTTGTCGCTTGCGCTAACGATTATGCGATTCTCTAACGCAGTTGTTACGATAATCGACATCGCACATTTCCATTTTATTAAAATGTAGGAAAGGTGGCACCACAGCTCAACGAAATGTCAAAATGTACAAAAAGCACAAAGAGGAATGACAAAAACAAATAAATTTGTTATTGAAATTATTTTTATTAAAAGAATAGCAATGCATTACAAAGTTTTTCAAAAGCATGTTATGGTTTGCACTTTCATTCATGACTCTTCGCTCTATAGGGGAGCTCCAAATAAAATAATTGTGCCGCGCTCTTGGGTACTTGGCATTTGCCAGTATAATCTTGCGATAAGGACCACATATCTATGTGAAAATATTGTTGCGAAAATGCGAGGCGAATGTCAGATGAAAGAGAGAAGCCGATAACTAGTACGTTCTAGAAACGATAAAACAAGAACCTTCCATAGCGAACAATTCGATGCTTCTACGCTTTCGTCTGCGAGCAGCCGATTGCTATATAAAGGTGACACTCAGCTGCAAGTCAAGTTAGTGATAAAGTAAACTCGTTGGCGTTAACATCAGTAAAGTCGTAAAGTAAACACGTTGGAAAGTACATTTAAGTAAAGTAAATTGTGAAAGTTATGCAAGTGATTGTAAATAGTAGAGTGTATTGTAATTGTATTGTGAATTACGGAGTAAATAAAAGACATTAGATTAATTCTTTATAAAGAAAGAAACTGCAAATTAAGTTGGCGAGTTTTTATTTAACAATCCAGAGATCGTACCCGAATGATCTAGAAAATAATCGAGGTTGATTTAGTAAAATCGTAACAATATAATTAACTTTGTTACTACAATGGTAATCGGAAACATATTTACTCTCAGCATTTGCGCATTGATGGAATGGTATCCATGGTGGTTTGTATACGCTTCTTCATGATTTTTGGGACTCATATGCAATCGATAGCTCCAATAGTGCCGCCAACAAATAGTGACGATGACGAAGCAAAAATTTGGAAAACCAACAGAAAACCTCGAACGGTTGATTGCGTCTGTTACGCGATGAATACAACAGTTTACTGACGACTGACTCATGGACATCCCCATTGCAAAAAATCGCGAGACGGCTAGAACATTTAAACATTTCAATAGTGTTAAGACTAAAAAATAATATTGAAAAAATATATTATTACCTGTTTCTCCGTAGACAATGCTGTTATTCTTTTTCCTTTTAGTTGACAATCTAGTTCAGAAACGATTTCTTCAACTAAATCCGACGAAAATCGGTAGCATCCAAATGAAAAGGATCTTCTGCTTCTCGATGCAAACTTCTATCCGATGGGTAGGATACCTCTTTATCTTGTGATAAATCCTATGCCAAATATTCAAAATCCATTTATTTTATTTTTATTTTTGTATTACTTAGACACTTTACTCTCTTATGTGAAATAACAAAATTTTGTCGATATCGCTAACAACTTAAAAATATTCGTCGCTTAGTTAGCGCTTTTTCGAGAAGTTTACGACAACAGCGAGAGCGAATATCGTTAAAACAAGTACACCGAATATTAAAATCGTTAGAATTATCGCTAAGTCTTCTTTGCGATCCGAAAATCGTTATACTGTGCTTAGAGAATAGCAAAATCGTTAAAATTATCGTTAAGTCATTACAACGATCCGAAAATCGTTATAATACGTTAGAGAATTGCCCTACTGATCATTATATTGTTATAACTCTACATCATTATTTTAAATTTTTTGATTTTCTATGCTTTTTAGTTTTACAGGTGTTTCAGACTTCTAATGCCGTAATAAGCAGGTGCATGACATTTTCTCATATTGCTTACATCTTATAATAACAATATGTAAAAAATTTTTTGGTATTCGAATTATATGTATTCTATGTATTATATGTATTATGTATTTTGCATTGTGAATTCGAAGCATATTTTATCATTTGAGTTTATGCTTCTAAACTTCTAAAGACATGTAGAAGGAAGCTAAACAATACATAAATATCAAAAACATAAATTCATCTTCCTAATGCTGTAATATGCCGAAATAGAAGAAGAATTGGCGAATAAAAACTTTTACAATATGTGTGTTCGTTGAGAAATGTCATTATAGTTAGCCAGTAACGAAATTCAGAGAGTAAGATGTCTAAGGCTGCAACTACCCAACTCACTCTCCAGCCGTCCATAACTGACGACGTTAGTAGTGAAATACATACACGAGCTATCGACGCCGCTGAGATCGGCGAAATGTTGCCAGCTGCCTGTGTGTTTGCACACTTTTGAACAAATTCATAATTTTCGTCAACGAATTTCATAATTTATTTGCCTTAACATAAACACAAGGCAAATATACATAATCTATATGGTAACAAATAATTAGTTACGCATTTATTTTTCATTTCTTTTGAACAAAACTACGCATTTTCTTCGATTATTTAATGTTACTTTAAGAAAGGCTATACTGGCAACCTTGTATAGCAACGAAAAATGAGCCGAGCCGGTTTTACGGAAAAAATCAAAACTTCATTGGTTTCTGCGACACAAACGTCACCAACGCTATGGGAAAGCGGAGATAACTTTGTGTTTACATGGCGCTCTCATAAGATAGGTTACTATGGACGGCTGGTACGCGCGTTGGGTAGTTGCAGCCTAACTCTCCCAATGAAAGAAATTTACTGAGTTTTCACTGGACAGGGTTCAGTAAAAATTAGCCAGCAAGTTGTACAACTTCAGTTTATTTTGGCGATTAAATTTGAATCCGTTCATTTATACAGTTTATTTTTTCTGCTTTTAAGTATTTTCCAAAGTGTTTTAATAAAATTGCTTTATTAACTGTATTCAGAATTTATAGCTTATACTTGTAGTCGTCAAACGATAAAAATACCAGTATGTTTTTTCTAATAGTGCTCTAAAAGGACGAAGACTCACGTAAAATTTGCTTTCCACTAATTTGTCGCTTAGATTTTAGATTTTAGATTCAGCAAAGGTGATTGATATCAACTGAACATTATTATAGTGTTTATTCGATTATGATAAATAAAATCCAAGCAAGAGCTTCACATTCTGTTTTAAACGCGAGCAATTTTTCATTTTGTACATGTGAAGGTTGCAAACATCTTGATTCGCATTGTTTTGCGGCTTTCTAGTAAATTTAAGGAATCCAAAATCAATTTGCATTGTACAAAAAAAATTTATATACTCTAATTTTGTGCTTTCAGCACTCCTAACTTCTAATTCCTTAGAGTGTTTGGGTAGTATCCACTCCAGTGTCACCACATTTTTATTTAACGACTGCCGCCTTTTCTAGTATTTGAATCATTGATATTATTAAATTATTTAGGTGTAGGTTAGTGTATCATTCATATTAAAGTGTTAATAATATTTTCATTTCAAATGATTTTTGTTTTTTTGACAAAAATTCAATCATATGATCGCAAACCAGCTCGTTATAAATTTTATTGTGTTTTTGGCTCAACGAAAACGATTCTTCAGTAAAGTTCAGTAAAAATTGTTACTGCTTAAATATCTTATTTTGTTGTAACACCTGGGCTGACAAGTAAGTGTCAAGCCTAATAAGGAAAACTATATTTTATTCTAAATTGGGATATTTTCGTCAATGTATTTTCCAATAAGGGCCATACAATTAATAAATTTCGAAACCACTTAAGTAGAAGAATTTATCTATTGTCATAAACTAGGCTTTAAATTCACCGCGAATACGGTGGATGTGGTTTTGCCAATGTTTGCATTGGCTTATGACACATGCACATGCCTGAACACCGAAGACATATTTTCTCCGACAGATTGTTAGTAAAAAGGCAATAAAAAGTTGATTTAGATGAAAGTAAAACAAAAAGATGAATGCTACTGATTCTCTCCAATCCATGGTCTGAAAAAAATAGAACCTTACATATAGATTTCGCTAAATGTATTGCTTTTCAGTTAGTACTAACCTGCAAGTGATAGAAAATTTCATGATATTATATTTATTGGTTTGTGTTATGAGTGCCACCAGTTATGTTATTTTCAAAACAAAAATCCAAAAACAGTTTCCTGCTTTAATTATGGCGAAATAATCACTTTAAAGTGTTCTAAAAACTGGGGTCCATCAGAAACAACAATAAAACGTTCATTTATTTCAAACGTGGTAGAGACACTGATGTTGCACATGATGGACGACCAAAAAAGACGGTAACACAGACAAATTCAAGAACATGCTAATAATTCTTTGCTCACACTCTGCCTTATTTAAATGTAACAAGCAAGAACTTTCGCGTCGATATGCTACAATGGATGAAACATAGATTAATCACTTCTGTAAGATATTGACCATAATGAATGAATTCTGGCAATGAATTCCTGCTGAAACAAACAGCATTATACTCTTTTCAGGGAATAAGACTTCCTCCTATTTGAGTCTTATTACTGGTGTTTCGATCGAATATTCTTAGTTTTTTTGAATTCAGCCTGCCTTCTACTTTTTTCCTTAATAGATTAAGATATTGTTGTAAAATTATCATTACAAAGTCAAATTTAGATAGTTTCACAGTTTATAACAGGCTGATATATTCATCTTCAAACAAATTATATGGTGTTGTGCACATAATGATTGACAGATAAACTCACAATTATATTCTAGATATAGACTTCATAAAAATCTAAATTAATACATTTGTATTCTAAACAGATTGGTAGCCTGACTGCGGTAAAAATACGTTCTCCAGTCATCGCAGGAAATTTCGCCGTTTGGGGAGGTATGTTCAGTACTATTGATTGCACCTTGGTCCATTTTCGAAAGAAGGAAGATCCATGGAATTCTATAATCAGTGGATTTGCAACCGGTGGAATTTTAGCTGCTAGAAATGGTAAATTTTGGAGCATTAAAAAAGTTCTGAACTGTTTTCAAAAAATTTAATAGGGTTATCCATTTCGTGGTTTCAAAAGTACATGACTGTATTTTGACATTTTCCAAAATTAACTGTTAAACCAAACAGTATAGATTTTAGACTTCGCAGTCACTCATACATATTGTGTATAGGTGTGCGCACTAGGCTTCTGTCAAACAAAGAAAACTAGCTGTACAAATATCGTTCGGCCCTCGGCAGGGAATGTTTAACCCTTTGAGTGTATTTGTGACATGTAATTAAAGTTCTTCATAAAAAGATTTTACATTAAAAAAAAAATACCATAAATTGGTGGAAAAATAACTAAAGTTACGATTACGGAGTTTCGATAATGTATATCCGGAAGGTTCCGATAAATCTAAAGATGGGTAGCTAGCTAGTGCTGCCTAGAAATCCCAAATGCTAATTATGAAGTAGCTGCCGCTACATCGCAAAAGAATTTCAAGATTTTTAATGAGAAAAAGCTAAAGGACGTCCACCGGATGCATCTTGAAGTATAATAATGGGTTTCACAATAAAACAACTTAAGCCCTTCAAGGACTCGTGGAGGTCACCAAAACATTACAAATACATATTGAGTACGTTTTGCTTTTTCACCCACACACTTACAATAGTTTTGTGCGTTGATCAGATTGGCGGTAACAATTTTTACTGAATTTTACTTAATCGTGTTTGTTGAGCCAAAAACTGAGTAAAACTAATAAGGAGCGAGCGCAATTTTGACGTTCAATTTCGAGAGAGAGAGAGAAAGGGAAAGCTGCAAATTCGTGCTGAGAAAATATCGGGCAGTAAAAATTAGTAACAATGAAAACAGCTGATTAGTGATCATATGATCGAGTTTTTGTCAGCAAAGGAAAAGCTGTGTTCGTTGAAAAAGGCCATTAAAAGCTAGCTATTAAATAAATTGAGAGAGTAAGATGTCTTATTCTCCCAAAGAAAGAAATTGACTGAGTTTTCAACAAACAACAACACTGTAAAAATTAGCCACCAAGTTGTATGCCAGCTTCTTATTTTGATGGTTAAATTTGAATCCTTTCATTTTTACAGTTTATTGTTTTCTATTTTTCTAGTATTTTCATAAGTATTTTAATAAAATTGGCAATTATGTAGCATATCTAATTTATGAAATGTATTGAAAATTTACTGTATTTCAACGATGATGAAATACTATATGCTTTATATATAGCCGTCAAGCGACTAATAGGTTTTTTAATAATTCTGTAAAAAAACGAAGATTTACAAACAAATTACCTTGCAACAACTTATCGCTTAGATTTTTAGTAAGGATTACAGAAATACGAAAATGAATTTGAAATTCGTTTTCCGTGTAAGCCAGCCATATTAACACAACATTATAATAGAATTTATTCGATTCTGTTTAAATAAAAACCTAGCAAGAGCGTTATCTTTCCTTTTAAATGCTACTAATATGTCATTTTGTGCATCTTCGTCGCTTCCAGTAGCTTAAGAATCCATTATCGTCACTGTGCTTTGCAAAGTTTTGCTGCTCATTAGGTTGGCACAGCTTTCTGGTAAACTCTAGAAATCTCAAACAAAAACAAGGACATCAACGAAATAATTTTCACATTTTCCGCCCCTTAAGGCTGAAATTTTTCAGAAGTAATTGTATATATGCACAGTTAAAGACAAAAGTTTAAATACACCTATAAAATTCCACTTTTTATTAAAATTAAGCATTTTAGAGTGAATGTAAGAATGCAGTATTTTAAAGCAGATAATTAATCAACAATACAATCCAAAAAAATATTCAAAGCCGCGTAGATAACGGTAAGTTCATTAAACACATGAAATCACTCGGGACAAAAGTTTAAATACCACAAAAGAAAAATACCCATCGCATATGCTTTGTAAGTCCTTTAGAAGTAAAGTACCGTTTTATTCAATGTTTTAGCAAATTATACACAATTACCCGGTATTAGTCGCGATTTCTTCTCCAACAGTGAGTGCAAAGTAAAAAATGGATAAAGAAAACCAAATTAAACATTTTCAAGAAGGAAATCTTATAGGAAAAAATCTTGATAACACTTATGCGAGTGAGCAAAATATAGTTCAAATGTAGAAACCTACAAATCTTTTGGAAATAGGCCAAGATCTAGGCGTCCAAAGAAGCTATCCTGACGAGATGTCAGTTTATCACCTTAAAGACAGCCTACAGCATCGGTAAAATATTTGGCAAAAATGTAGACCCAAATACTATAGCAAGAACTTTACGGGAAGATAGCTATCGAAGAAGAGTTCCGCGTAAAAAATGTCTAATATATGAGAAAAATAAGCAACTTCGTCTCTTATTTGCAAATAAATAAATACAAAAATATTGAGGAATTCTTTTGAGGATCGAAAAATAACCTAACGGAAGCGTTGGCTGCGTAAAAAATTGGCGTAAAGCAATGACGGCTTATCAAACCCAAAATTTAATACAAACCATTAAGCACGGTGAGTACAGCGTCAAGAATTGGGGAACGATTGGAGCAACTGGCGTAGGAAATTTAACGTTTATCGATGGAATAATGAGCACATGTGCTTCCTAAAGTATTGTTGCGAAAATGCGAGGCGAATGTCAGATGAAAGAGAGAAGCCGATAACTAGTACGTTCTAGAAACGATAAAACAAGAACCTTCCATAGCGAACAATTCGATGCTTCTACGCTTTCGTCTGCGAGCAGCCGACTGCTATATAAAGGCGACACTCAGCTGCAAGTCAAGTTAGTGATAAAGTAAACTCGTTGGCGTTAACATCAGTAAAGTCGTAAAGTAAACACGTTGGAGAGTACATTTAAGTAGAGTGAATTGTGCAAGTTGATGATAGTGATTGTAAATAGTAGAGTGTATTGTAATTGTATTGTGAATTACGGAGTAAATAAAAGACATTAGATAAAATCTTTATAACGAAAGAAACTGCAAATTGAATTGGCGAGTTTTTATTTAACAATCCAGAGATCGTACCCGAAGGATTTAGAAAATCATCGAGGTTGATTTAGCAAAATTGTAACAGTATTTTGGATCAACATGGATTTCTTGGTCTCGAAAGTTCGTAGGTATTTCATCAAGCTAACGGACCTAACCATACAGTATTATTATTAATATTAATTATTATTATTAATCTTAAGAGACAGACAATTTGCTAATTAACTGTCTTATTTTAACTTTTACGTTAATGTTATACAGCGCATACAGGAAACAATGTTACGTTGATTATGTACACATATATGTAATCGATATCTCAAATATTTTTTGAGTTATAGCAATTTAACGAGCAGCCGCTCGGCAGCTAGAGAGTCTCATTAGCTACTAGCGAAAACGATCATTTTATGTTGTTGTTGTTGTAACCGCAAAATTATTCCCCAAAGTACTTTTTGGGGAATCTTGCGGGAGTGACAGTCCTTGGCCGGATAAAAATCCGGGTCGTTCCGGTATAAAGACCCGACTGTCGTGGGAACTTTCGGATTTTAGTCGCCTCTTACGACAGGCATTCCTTACTGCAGGGGCAAACGATCATTTTATCTTTAAACGCGTTTTTCTCGAAACAGCATTTTCCGAATTTGTTGCAGTGATTAGTCAAATCAAGTGATCCGATCACTATCGAATTTTTTTTACATGTTCTATATATAGTTCTCCCTAAAATGGCCTATCGATTTTTAATCTGATCTAAAAATCGAATTTTGGCAGGCCAGAAACGACCAAAATTTTGGGCAAAATTCGACTATTTTTTTTTTAAACGCCGACATATTGTGAATTTTTGATTTTTTTTATCGTAGGCCATTGTACAGACAATATTATGTAGTTTAACGAGAATTTTTTTTAGATTTCATCCGGCTGGAATCACTGCAGTAGTGAGTGAAGGACCTTTTTTTCGCGGCGTTGAAGATCGACTATAACTTAAAAAATATTTAAATATTTCTTCAAAAGCTTCACTGTATATTCTTGAAACATATATAAATATATTCTTAAAATTTTGAAATATTTGATGAAGTATTTTTTTTTTAATAAATACTCAAAAACCACCTTTTTTTAGGCCATTACACTAGGTGTGCCCCCTTCAAACTTAGAAAAAATTTGTAATTTTTCGAATTAGTTCGGCTGTTCAGAGTAAACTCATCACAACACTAGGATATTTCAATATTTTTTTTTGAAAACTTCGTTTACCGCAATCATTTTGTTAACTTAAAAAAAATGCTGAAAAAACGTCTTCTAAAAGAGACTAAGGCAGTAGTCCCTTTGAAAAATTTTTATCGATGTGCAGAGACACACATTTGGTACGTCGGAGTTGTTTCAGTAGGAAAAGTATGGCGGACTGACGCAATTCAGTAAGAACGATGACACGACTTATAATTTAGGGTAATAGTTACTTTGGGAGATAACAGCGAAGAAAGATGCAAAACAGAGTGCCTAAGGTTTTAAATAGCTGATCAACTTTTTCAATTTTTTTTTTCTGTAAGTTAATGGTTATATCATATAATTATTCAAAAACCTTCAACTCGGAATTCTTTTTAAAATATAAAAACTCGGTGCACTATTACTAACTTTTACTTGCAATTTTTATGTCAATTAATGGCAATTGCCCACAATTTTTGTTTCGATGCCGTCATTCTACGTGCAAAATATTTATCTGTTCTGCCAGCACCATTCTTTTACAGTCATTTGACAGGCAAGAATGCCAAAGAGTGTAATTCGCGTTAAAGTCGTCCTAAAGTAGAAAGTTTTCTCCTCTAAGTAGCGCTATAATAGAAGCCATTCGCATAAACAGAAGTCATTTAAGACATTTTTTATCCTGGGTGTCTGGCAGTAGGCTAGAATGTGTAAATATTAGGTGCATGCATTAATTCGTGCGAGTTTCTAAGAGAGGGCTTTACTATTTCGCGTCGTGTTCGTCTGCGGTTAAATTCATTTCAATGGTACTGTCCCGTCGTTTTCAGTAGATGTCATTTGATTTAGCGTGAAAAACAATTTGTTTCATTCATTTGAAAATGTCGGAATTTGTACCAAATAAAGTGTTTTTGCGTGAAGAAAAGTGCTACCGAAAGTCATTGTATTTTACTTATGGTGACCATGCTTTAGCCGAACGAACGTGCAAAAAGTACTAGATTTGATTAATCAACCGTTTCCAGACGATTAAATCATTTTTTCATAATAAAGTCTTAATTTTACAACAAAAAAAAAAACCGCACGAATTAATGCATACATCCAAACGAACGAAAACGTTTTTAATAAAACCTTTTTATCGATATCAACATCACTAATGACTATTTTTTTTTTGAATATAAATATGCAATAACTGAAGAAATTAATAAACGAGTATAACATATATGCATATATATATTTTGCTTAGGAATACCAGCCATGGCAGGAAGTGCTATAATTGGTGGCGTTTTGTTGGCATTAATAGAAGGCGTTGGAATTTTATTTACTCGGTTGTCAGCAGAGCAGTTCAAAAATCCTGCTCCACCCATTGAGGACCCAGCAGTGTTGGGGGAAGCCGCGCAGCCTTTTAGCTTCGGACAGACAAGTCAACATCCGTCACAGTACCAGTGAATAATTAAAAAAAATACCATCTCTATTTGTTTAGAAAATATAAAAATTTCTATAAAAAAAAGATATATATAAACATTGTTTAATTATAAGATTTGAATTAAAAGCTGAATTTAAAATATCTCTAAAATATTCAGAAAGCATTTATCTGTTTTTACTTTCCTATTAAGGAAATCTATCTCAGGAAACAGAGTTTACCTATAATTTTAACAAAGGGTAATCATTGGGGTGTAGTCAAGCTTCTGGGTATGCTGTTACAGAAGCGTCCACGTCGCGCAGCATGGAAACGTGAGCAACCCTTGTGCAAAATGTGGTAACCAACCCGTTTGGAGCCTTGATTCATGATTCCGATTTGAGAGCATGGAATGTCCGATCCCTTAATTGGAAGGTGCCACTGCCCACCTGGTTTATGTCCTCGTAAGAATAACGACATCGTGGACGGGATAAGGACGAAAGCGAGTAAGTTCTGTGACATTTACTAGTGTTGGATTTGTGGTGGGAGAGAGACTCCGTCGTCGACTACTGGCATTCACCCCGGTAAATAAGCGTCTCGCCACACTCCGCATCAAAGCGAATTTTTTCAATATATCTTTAATTTGCGTGCACGCCCCTACGAAAGAGGAGGACGTTTTGGTCAAAGATGCCTTTTATGAACGTCTACAGCATACTTACGAGCGCTGCCCCCGACATGATGTGAAAATCGTGCTTGGCGATTTTAATGCCAGGCTGGGCGAAGAAGGTTTCTTTGGTACGAGTGTTGAAAGATTTAGCATTCACAACGAAACTTCCCCCTAATGGGTTGAGGCTGATTGACTTCGCCGGGGCCGGAAATATGGTTTTATCGCATTGGGCGAAGATCGTTGGATCGTTCCGCACGAAGTCAACTCGACGAACTTGACCCTTTTTCCCAGGATGAACTCTCTTTACCCGGCCGAAACACCACTCCTTTCGGGGAACCTTCATGTCACAGACTAAAACGAAATATTGCAACAGCTTTGTTTGCTCACACCACTTCGTCCGAAGGGTCAGCGTTGGTAAATATTCTTCTACCCACCTTTTCCAGAAACCATCTTGCATCTGCCTGGTCTTTTGCCACTGCTTTCTTAAGAAGCAAAGCTTCTGATCGTGACCGTCAGAACTTGGTGTTTGCGCAGTGTTTGCACTGCTCAGTATCAAATTGGTTTGGCGTGAAAGCCTCTACTTGTTCTGGAGCCAACGGCAAGTACTGAGCGGGCGGGAATTTACTACGTTTTCCGATTTCACCAGCAGGCTATGAAACGGTTGCTCTTTCATAGTATGACCCAGGACCTTCTTCACACACTTTATCGTACGTTCCAAGACGATGGCTCCAGATGGATTTTCAGGGTAGCTGAAAGCCTATTTTACGCCTTTCGTTGTCAGTTCACCTTCCAGCACGCAACAGTTGATCACATCTGAAAAACGCCTAACCTCGCTAAAAATGCCAATGATATTCTTGCCATTATCCGATCTTATTCTTCTTGTTGCACCTCTTCGGTTCATAACGGTCCGAACCACTAATAGACAAGAGTCTGTCGACAAATCGTAAGTCACCTCGAGATGAATAGCACGCTCTGTTAAACACGTAAATAAAGCTAGCCGTCGCTTTTCAGTTCTTTGGCCGACAGTCACATTCACCGGGTAAAAGTAGTCCAATCCAGTATATATGAAAGGACTCAAATATGCCGTTATGCGGTCGTCTGGAAGTAATCCCATCATCGGTACAACTGGCTTTACTTTCTTTGGTTAGCACGTATTGCATGTATGGCGTTGCACGTGACGACATATCAGTCGTTCGGCGGTATCAAATTCAGTGGTTATTAACCCATGTGTTGAAATCTGCTCCGGAAGTTTCAATCTTGATTGGATCTATTATAGATGTAGCGGGGAACCCATGGAATAACTCTCCTTAGTTTAAGAAACGATGAAAATATCTCTAATTCTAATATGCTGCTTTCGGCAATTAATACAGCTCTTATTTCTCGTCGGCATTCATAACGGGTGTGTCGTCTGTGGGCCATATGTGTTCCGGCTGATGTAAAAAATCTGGACCCATGGACCAACGAGAGAATGGGCTGAGGTTAGCAGCCTTTTTTAACAGTTTTGCTTTGTCAGCGACATTTTCTCTTGTTGGCACAAATCTCCAATCAGACGGCTTATACAACTTAGGATTTCCGCCTTTTTATGGGCTACAAAGGGCTTATAACGACGATGCTCACTTGCAATCCACTTGACAACCGTTCCTGAATCACTCCGTATGCTCTTCAATTATAGTTGTCATCTTACGGGATCCAAAAGCAGCGGCTTGCAACTCCAATCTGGGAGTACTTTGCGTCTTGTGCGTAGCACTTCTCCAAAACGCTACGGCTTCGAAGGTGTCTTCGCTAGCGTCGACGAGTATGTAGAATTGTGGCGTGGAACTGCACACTCTATAACTTTTAGTAACTACATCCGGAAATTATTCCACATGTCGCCGAACTCACTAGAACGGACTCATCACAGCCTAAACAAAGTTTCCAGATCTCGCGCAAGCTCAATTTGTCCGTGATGGTGAGGTGGCACTGAAATCCCAACGAATCGAAGATGAACTTGGCATTTGCATTCTTTTTGTGGACAATAAAATCGCCACTCATAACTAGCGTATCGATTTCATGTAGCTCAAGCCTGTATGTCAAATGGTCACTTGACGGTTGCCACAACATACCTAAGATTTTCCCAGATTGCATGGCTTCTTTGGAGATAATGGGCAAGGCTGCATTTTTGCCACCAAATGCGATCGCGAATTCAAGAAACTTGACCTGAACTTCCGAGGCTAGAAACTGGCGTCTATGCGAAAGTCGAGAGCCTGTTTGGCTATTTCTATATCCCTGGTGGTGGAATATAAACTGCCGACATAATCATCCCCACACCGATGATCCGGTATAGCTCGGATACACGCTGATCGTAGTTGTCATGCTCCGTACCTTTTTTTATTTTCACACAATGTGCTGAACTTGGGGAACATGCTGCACCAAACGCCATTGCTGTTATCTCATATAGGTCGGGCGTTCGTTGGTCAACGCCATTGCGCCACAGAAATCTCTGGGAACACTTATCTCCGGGACGGCTTAAGACTTTATGGAACATTTCCTGTATGACCGCACAGATGGCCACGGCGGCTCCACGAAAGTGGAACAACACGGACATCAATGGACGATATTGTTGTGGTTTTTTTAGCAGTTCAAAATTCAGCGGCACTCTTCAAGAAGTTGCTTTAGCATCGCACATAAATCTCAGCTTTCCAGGTTCATGCTTATAGGCGCTTTTTTCGATGCTTACAATGGCGTTTCAAGGCCATGGAGCAGCTCCGGTATCTCGATGTTGTCGCTCCTCCACAGTAACCCTATTTGAAATCGAAGAAGCATCTTCACTGTAGTTGACTCAAGCAGCTTCTTTGCACGTATCTCGGCTACACTTTCTATAGGTAGCAAGGCACGCACACTGAAAGATTCCACGGTGAAATAGTTTTTTATCAGGTCATGGGTCATGCATCTGGCTCTCTGAAGTGGTGACGTGAAAACAAGATAGCCTATTTAACGAGAAACAGCTTTATTGCCGATCACACAAACACCTAATTTGGTTATTGCGGCAAACGACTCGTCACAATTGGCTTATATCAGCGTGGTTGGCAATCCCAGATGGCAATGGTCTAAGTCGGTTTTCCGGTTTATAGCTGGGCTATCACTCAGCCTTATGAGTTTCTCCCGTAATGACGATTTCACAAGAAAAAGTAAAGAACAACCAAAGTGGTTCTACTTTTACAATTATTTTTATTACTTAAATTTCTTACTGGTAGCGTTTGCACGACACACCGTATGCCTTAGTCGTGTCGTATTGGTAGCGTTTTCATGTCATACCATTTATCTTGAGTTGATGCGGCTGCTGGTAACAAGGTCACTTGGCCCCATAGGCCCACTGTGACGCCGCAAAGGCTCCTGTCTTCATCTTCGCGAAAAAATTCGAATCATTTCGTGTGCCTCATTAAGGAAACGAAATTTCCAACATTCGCTGAGGCAAACTCAGCGAGACAGTTCAAGAAGTGTTTCCCAAGGAACTTGTATCGCAGCGGCAGAAATCGTTAGTGTAATAGTCCGTCCCCTTTCCGTGAAGCCCCATTAAACACTGTCCAGTTATTATGCCTGCCATTCTGTTAATAGAGGACCGGTCTAGAAGTATAAAATGTTTTAATTCTTTCGCGTCGAACTTTGATCATTGATGTGATCTCGTTCAACCATCTGCAGTTAGCTTCCCTGGTAAAAGCCAGTTTAAGCATGTACTTTGCTGTGGACAGAGGTAAACCAGAGTCGTGTAATAGCTTTATCATAGATAGAAGGGTTCCTTCCCTTGCTATTTCGTCTGCCATGCAATTGGCTGGGATGTCCCTGTGTTCTGTCAACCAGACAATGGCAGTTGTACTTTGTTGAGAGTTTGTTGAGAAACTTCCTATAATTTATGGCCACTTTTGACGTAGTACCGTTACATTGAAAAGATCTGATTACAGGCTGATTATCGGAGTAAATAGTAACCGATTATCCTGCTGCAATAGATTTGTACAACCACTCCGCGGTCTCCATAAATGCGGAACACTTGCATGCTCATGCGTAATGAGAGTACAGGAGAATAAATTCCACATCTCACTTTCCCATCAAGTTTCGAGACGTCTGTGAATATGGCTATTGCTCCCTAGTCGAGGGTGTTGGTGTTTTCTCACTCACATCTGTTCGGGATTATCGAGGAGAAAAGATTATCGAAGCATACACTGGGGGTGGTGTAGTCCAGCTCCTTCGGAACCTTTGTGAGCGATAATATTACACCCCATATACACTAGCTACGACAAAATAAAAATAAGTTATCTATCATTGCAGATGCTGCCCTTATATCGATTCTGCTTGCAGGCGGACAGTTATGCGTTGCGTTCTTAGTAGGCCTATCGCCTATTTTTCTTTGCCCTACTTTAGCATAGCGTACTGCCATTCTGAAGACTCTGGTTCAAATCCTGGTGTCGTCCTAACATCCAATAAGCTACAGAAAACTTATTTAAATAATAAATTAATCTACAATATATTTTCTAATTGTGGTCGCCCCT